CAGTTATGTTTATTACTAAACGTTATAATCGATTAATTCCATGTGATAGGATTTTATGTGGTCTCTTTGGATGGCCTTCCATCCTTTATTTATTTTTAATTAATGTGAATGTTCGAAGAACTTGCATATCTTGCATGTATTTCAGTTAATTTTATAAATCTTAAAATTAATATTATAAAAAATTTTAATATTCTTGAAATTTATAAAACTTAAATTAATAATTTTTAAAAAACAAATTTATAACCTGATAAATTAAACTATATCTCTTACAGTTTATTGATCCTTCATTCGCTACAATTCTTTGATCTTTCATTTGCTTTATATGGTGGGATGATAATATTAATGTCTTTTCTATCAAATAAATAAACTTATTTTAATACAATTAATATATGGTATAACAAAAGGAAAGAAATTGTATTTCACAAATCCTAAAATTATATCCAAATTATATTAAAAAATTATAATTTTTAAAATTTTAAAAGTTGATAATTCTTAAATATTCAATTTTTAAAAAAAAAATAAACTAAAAAACCCTAATTATACTAGTCATAAACCTAAATCTTCATCCTTATAGGAAAATGAATTCTTATTGATAGTTCTTAAACTAATATAGAATTCAATTAGTAATAGAATTTCTTAACAATTTTTTTAAAGTAAAATAACCAAGGAAAATAAAGAAAATTCCAAACAATTTTTTTAATCTAATTTAGGATGATAACAGCCCCAGACTTTTCCTTATCATAAACTCACATAATAAACTTCCCGTAGTTAGATACCAAAAAAATTGTCTTTTCTTCTAGAATCCGACGAACTTTCACCAAAATCCCTCTTCAGACTAACATGTACACGTTGAGAAATTATTTCTTATAAAGCCAGGTTCAAATCTTGTTATAAATCCGACTTCTTTATACGTACATGGTTAAAAAGAAGAAGAAGAAGAAGAAGATTGGTTGCCTACGAATTCTACTATGCTTTTGGAAGCAATTCTTATTAATCTATGCATATTTTAATTTCTTTTATGAAGTCAAATTTCTTTCCGATTATCTCTTACCGGCGGGCTGGTAAGAAAATAATAATATGACAAATGTTTTTGTGAAGCCAAGTATTCATTCATAGGTGGTCTGATTTAATTTCCACTTCCCAGCAAAATCCCTAAATACATGCCAAAGGATTTAAGGTTGACAGAAACCAAGCATATATTTTCATGCGGTAAGGTACAATTTATAGCTCCGCCGTGGGTGAATGCTAAGAGGTTGACGAGCATGCATTCCGTTTAAACAAAAATTACATAAGAATTGCTCCCCCAATTTCCACGGGTGCTACAATCTACTTGAAGAACGGTTTCATATCTTATGCCACTGAATCCAGCTCCGGTGGCCAAGGCCACTGGTTTTTCATATTTTATTTCCATTCTTATGATAGGTAAAAAACATTGGTTTTTCATATTTTATTTTCATATCTTCAAAGGAAGTTTTGTGTTGCTATTTTAAAATCCATCTTTATATATTCTCAAATTCATTAAAGGGAAGAAACATGGGACAATAGATTCAAATTTATTTTTTTACTAATCACTTTTCACTTTACTTCCCTTGAATCTTGTTTTTTTTTAAAAAAAAACATAAAAATAATTTTCAGAATATAAGATTAATTTTTATACCAACGACGTTGAAAATGAATTTAGGATTTTTTTTTTATCATAATAGTTTCGCATAGGTGTTGATTTGCTAAAAAATGTTGAACTTTTTGTGGTATTATTTATAGTCCTTGGCAGTCTCGCACAAAAACAGGGGGCATCATGGATAGAATTGATAATAAATGTGGAAAATTGGGTTAACTACAGAGCTAGATGAGAAGCTCTTTTAATCATAAACTCTATCGCCATACGCAAAGAATGAGGACCAATACACTGTATGCCCACCTTTTCTTTTACAATATCCCTTTTGCTTGGTGAAATGCACGTTTCCTCTAATTAATCGGTTTTCAACTGGAGTGAAATTGCGAAAAGTAAGGTATTTTTTGAGTGCTTGAGGACGCAGAATGATAGAAAAAAATAATTGATCATTAAATCATATAGCAAGAAACTAACACGTGGAGACTGAATCAAACAATTGCCTGTTGATTACTTTATTTCAAATTCAAATGTCAATTACTTTCTCTTTATTGTTATGAAATATAATTAATGGAAGCTATCTCTCCATTGTATAGCCTAAAAGTTTTTCAAACTTTATGATAAACTGAATGAAGATTATAATGCAATAACACACACTACTTATAATTTATTTTGGGAACGTTTGGCATTGTGCCCAAAACGTCATTTGCTTAAAATTTATTTTTTTCTTTACTTAAAATTTACTTCTTTGGTATTTTTAGGTTATGCTAATGTAAAAAATAAAAATATATATTATTTTAATATATTTAAATACTTTAAAACGTAATTTATACCTATAAAATTTTATCTTAGAAAGGTTAAAAAATTTTATTGATTGGTGCATGACGCTAACATCTTGAAACCAGATTAAACTAATAAGCAGTCAACAAATTATTATTTTTTTTACAAAAAAAAAAGATAAAAATAAATTATGGATGCTAAAGAGAAAAAAAAAATCTATGAATTGGTTTCAAGATTTTATTTTTAAAAAGTAATTGCAAATCAGTTAATATTTTGGGGCGAAAACTAATAAATCATAAATTTAGTTACCTTATTGCACAAAAATAAATTAACGAATAAAAAAAAACACTAGTATTACAAGTTGATCATCCACGATAGTCTAAAAGAAGATAAATAATCAAGTTAATTATCTAGGTGGTGGTGGTAAAGTGGTAAGAACTTGGGATTTAGATATTTGCTCTCTTTATAGTCTCAGGTTCGAGTTATTGATTGCTCATATGATGGCTACTAGAGACTTACATGGTCGATAATTTTAAAACATGTAAGATTAGTCGTGATATACACAAATTAGTCTCGATATCCATATTAATCTAAAAAAAAATAATCAAGCTGGACTCGGGCTAGTTTGGTAAGCTGTGAGTTTTGAAAAAGGAACCTTGGATAGTTTGGCAAGCTGGACTCGGGACGCAATCCGTTGCCTTTTCGTGTTCAAAGAACTGAAACTCAAACAGAAGACAGATAATCAAGCTCGAGGCAAGTGGCAAATGTGAACAATGGAAATCATTTTTTGAAAATTTTGATAAGATCTAGATACACTCGGCACAATTCAAGAGCATATTCCCAAAAGCTAAAAATTTCAAGACCAAAAGAAGCTTAAACCCCCACTAGTTATGTTGTTGTTCCATCCTGCGCATATCTCCAGCCCCATTACATCTAAGCTAACCATTGAATGTGTAGTGCAAATAAAATCATTAGAATATATCAATGGATTGCATTCCGCCTTCTTTTTTTTCTTTTTTGGCTCCACTGAAATTACATGAATATCCATGGTGGATGACACTGTAGTCAAACAGAGCGTAAGAAATAATAGACAGGACAATAGTTTCTGCCTGTGGAATCTTTGTCTACGAATTTATCTAGCTAAGGGCACTTAGAAGATCCATGTGAAGTCCTTCGGGCAGTTTATTTCTGGTGCTCTTTTGTTCTATTGTTGGATTGTAAGGTCTGTAACTTGTTTGCTGATCTGGTCATATTTTGAGCTCTAATCTAGCTCTTTATTTCTCGTATGGGCCCAACCACTTTTTTATTAGGCCAAATTTGGGCTTGTCAACTGGCTGGGATTGGGCCAAGCCTTACCGCACAGCTTCGGGCAAATCAAACAAGTTGTTGGGCCTCTGGGGGTGGGGGGGCCGCGGGAGGAGAGGAGAAAAAGGAAAAAGTTCAGTCGAAAAATGTTGAAATGAATGAAAAATACGGAAAAAAGCAATCCAAAGAAAGTTTAACTCACTTGAAAAATATAAAGTTTTTGGATCTTTAATGAAATTCTTCTGATAATTGAAATTGGTGATTGTTATTTCACACTTTGTCATTCCATTAGAAAACTATAAATACATTTCATTAAATTATTTTTAAAAAAAATAATTTTATAAATATCAACAGCTGTAATTAATCTCTAATTTTAATAGATTATTGATAAGTTGTAAAACAGTTAAACTAATTTTTTTATTTATAAAAATTATCTTAAATAAAACAAATAATAATAATTAAATAATTAAATTTGATAAATAAAAAATTAAAAAATAATGAATTTTTTTATAAAAAAATTGTATGCTAGCAAATTCCTTTTCTTTTCAATTAAAAAAATATTATTTAGCCTCTATTAAAAAAAATTATTTAACTGTTAAAAATCTTTTTAAATGAGTTTATATATTAAATGAGATTAAATGTTTTTATATGATTTTAAAAACACATCACTAAGCTTGGCCTAATGCATTTAAAAACACATCACCGAGTATATTTACATTTTATAATAATTATATTGAAGTTGAAAAATGGTAAATGTTTTTACAAATCTATTTCGAGTTTTTAGCACCGAGATCTCTATAGTCTTCGATTTGCGAAGTGCTATAAAAGGAAAAGGGAAAAATAAAAGGAAAGGAAGGGTCTAAGAGAGTCAAATGGCTGGATCACTATAATTAATATATATATATATATATATATATATATATATATATAAAGTCATCAATTCGAATCATTTTATTTCAGATGTAGGGTATAATAAAAGATGACACAAAGTTTATTACAAGTTCAAATTCTTAAAGGTGTCATGTTTATACTATTTAATAAAGCCTTCCTACTGAAACTTATAACAACATTTTAAATTAAAAAACTAGAAAACTTTAATCTTAATTAAAAAAATATAATAGAACAAAACTAGAATCGTAATAATACTAAATATTAAAATAAACATCTTTCCTCCTTAAATAAAACTAATGAATCTTAAAAAACCTTAACAATTAAATAAAAAATAATATAGTTTAAAATAATGGATTTACTTTCCATGTCATTTCTTTTCATGACGGCAATAAAAAAAGTTGAGAAAACTGGGCTACCATCTCTGTCCTTCTGCGGTGTCTATACTTTTGCTTGGTTCTACTTTTTGTGCAAAGCAATGGCCAGAAATAAAAAAAAGCAAAAGAACCAAAAGCACGGAGTGAGTCAGTCAATGCCAATGGCCGCCTCTGTTACAGAAGAAGAAACTACCCAAAATGACAACCAAAACCAAACCGTAGAAAAAGAACGAGAGAGCTTTACTTATGCCATGCGACTCGTGAATGCCTCAGTCCTTCCCCTGGCTTTAAAAACCGTCGTTGATCTTGGTGTCCTTGATGTTTTATCCATGGCGGACCCTGATGTTGGGCTCACTGCTGCAGAGATTGCCGAGAGGATTCCTACCCGGAATCCGGAGGCCCCTGGAATGCTGGAGCGAATCCTCAGGCTGCTGGTGAACGAGGGTATTGTTTATTGCAGTTCTGAACTTTTTGGCGAGGCCCCAGTGAAGTACCGCTTGGGTCGTGTGGGTAAATACTTTGTGCGTGATGAAAATGGGGTTTCTTTGGCCCCTTTGATGGCCTTGGCTCACGACAAAGTCTACTTGGAAACCTGGTTTGCCTTTCGTTGTTTGTTTTATCAATCTAGTGTTTTTTAAATTTATCACATGGGAACTTTTTTTCTTAGTATTGAATCACAGACCTAGGGACTCCGAAAACAGCTTCAGCTAATTTAAACCGTTCGTTGCGAGCCCATGGTGTTTAAAATGATATTAAAGCCAAATGGGAAGAACTATTTTGTTTCTGTCTTCAAATATTCTGATCTTGATGTATCTATATGCCCTTTATTCTATGTTTCTGTTTTATGTGATTCTGTTTCTACTTCGCGAGGACCTATAGCAGGCACTGTGACCTGGACCCATCTAGCTTTTCCCATAACTAGAATATGCAGCTAACTCTCAGCTTACAGGTCACATCTGAAGGATGCAATTCTTGAGGGAGGAACTCCATTTAACAGGGCCCACGGGACACATTTGTTTGAGTACTCTGCTGGAGATGCCAGGTTTAGTCAAGTTTACAACACAGCAATGTTCAACCACACTACTCTAGTTTTTAAGAAGATGCTGGAGTCCTACAGTGGTTTTGAGAACCTCAAGCAGGTGGTTGATGTTGGTGGTGGAATCGGAGTAGCCCTTAGCTTGATCACTTTCAAATACCCTTTTATCAATGCTATTAACTTTGACTTACCTCATGTTATCCAGCACGCCCCTCCATTTCCTGGTATGATATCTCTTCCCATGCAAACCTTTCTCTTTGCTTGTGATATTGCAAATTTATCGTCTCCTTTATTCGGGCATACACATGTAAGGAGATGAGTTATTTTTCGGGGATATAAAACTCATATGATTAATGATTGGCCCAAGGTGCCCTGCATACCATGGTTTATACAAAAGCATGTTGTCATAACATAATTGAGCTGTTATTCTCATCTATATTCTTGTTGTTTAATCATTATGTCTAAGCTTGCCAAATAACTATATCACTATCAGTCATTTGTGATAGAAATTGATGATATATTGGTTCGAAATACTCTGCACCCATTGTCTTTATTTAAGTTGTTTAAGTTGAGGTTTTTGTGATTCGTGATCCTTTAAAAATGTAATGCACTATTGCATGCGGAGAAGCTAGTGCTATTTATCCATTCAATGCCTTTATCCTTAGCTGAATCAATTCTTACCGAGTTAGAATTGATAGAGGTCCTATCAACTCAACCCATATACTATTTAGAATTGATAGAGGTCCTATCAACTCAACCCATATACTATCTATAAATTCTTGATCCTTAATTGATTAGAAGGGACCAAGGTGGCTCTATTGTGAAATGTTAACAAAGTAGCAACTGAAAGAGAACATCTATGGTGCAGGTGTAAAGCATGTGGAGGGAGATATGTTCAAAAGTGTTCCAAAGGGAGATGCTATTATACTGAAGGTGAGTTAAAATTTTGTTGACTGTTTTCCCTAATTGACAAGGCCCCGTTCAATCAAGGTAGTTATGTTTTACTGTAGCATAGCAAAATACTAGAAACACTAATATATGTCATGGGTAATGACTATTCTTCTTAACTTTCCATTCAACTGAGGTTGCTATGGTATTATTACCAGTAATAGGCGATACATTATCATTTTGTTTCTGACTATATTGTTTTTTTAGTTGTCATCTTGGTACATGCTCTCTGGTTTGGATTGTTCTCAATCGATAATGCTTTTGATGAAATCTAAGGAGATTATGGATATCTTGCAGTGGATACTCCGTGACTGGGATGATGAACACTGCTTGAAATTGTTAAAGAACTGCTACATGTCTGTTCCTGTTGATGGAAAGATAATCGTCGTGGAGCAAATTCTTCCAAGTTTTGCAGAGATTAGTGCTGTTTCCAAAGACAAATCTCAACTTGATATAGTTTCACTGACTCAAACCCCAGGAGGAAAGGAACGGATGCAAGGTGACCTTTTCAATTTGGCATTCAGTGCTGGATTTAAAAGTATCAGTCTTGTATCATATGTTTATCACTATTGGGTTATGGAGTTCTTGAAGTAGATGACATCCTTGCCTTTTTAGGATTTTGCAGTTATCCCAGTTTAAAAGCAGTAAGCTCATATGAGCCCTTGTTAGTTACTCATCCTAGATGAGAAACGAAGTTGTTTGATGTAAGGTTTCCTAGCAGAAGCTGGAAAATGGTGTTTAATAGAAGTGTCATGATAAACTTGGGTGAATTTGTTTGAACATGGTACGAAAAGACTTGATGGTGCATGGATGTTGTGAAACTACAAACTAGCATAATTGGAAGATGCTGTTTGACAGAACCGTTCTAGCTTGTTTTAATAGCATCACAGATTCCAAATGTATCTTCTCTGGTTTTCACCATACTTGACATTACAACGGAGATCTTTGATGCACTGAATTTCTAGGGTAACTAGCTTTTGTCATTGCTTATCTAATTTGGGCCTCGGATTTATGAAAACCATGATTTCCTGAACTTGCTAGTCGCCAAAACATAGGTGGTGCAAGGTACTCTTCTAAATTTAGCTGCTCTAGACCTTCCATGAAGAAGGTGATTGCGGGCATAAATGGTTCTAAGGGCGAGGAAGCAAAATATTTAATTACATGTATCTTTAAGATAAAGGGTACATTACACGGATTTACTCTGGTTAGAAACTTCGTAAAGAAAATGAAGCGAGGCAACATGTTCATGCACAATGCTGCACGGTTTTTCTTTTTTAGTGAAAACAGAAAGTTCACCTCATTGCGGCAGTCTTTCAATTGGCTTTCTTTAGCTGCTGCCGATTACTTCCTTGTATGTGTCTTTTATTTTCGCGATTAAAGCTTCCCTGCAATTTGCCCCATGTGTATAAACATAATATTAGTGAGCCAAACATGATACGTTTTTGCACCAATCTCTACGAGGATGTGTAGCGAGTATATAGTTACCTGTCAGGTTTGAAAACCAGGTTCTTGTATGCAAACCACTGCAAGGAAAAACAAGAACCGCATGCTAGCTCATTAGAACCAAAAAAATATATATATATATATATATTGTATTGTCCGCACACTATATAAACAACAAATTTTAATTTTTCATATGTCACAGACAAAAAATAAATTAAATTAATTTCTTGATTATTAAGATAATGTGTTGAAATCCGTACAAGTTCCTCTATATCATACATAATTTCACTAGTTGCATGACTAGTGCTACATCATGGGTAGATATTTTTATTTTTTATAAAAAAATTTGAGATATATATATATATTCAATGCATTTATATAGTTCAAGTTAAGATCAAATAAAAACTTTTATACATACATGTAATTAAATAAATTAAAAATTATATGTATTAATAAATAAATAAAAAGTTATTAATATACATAAAAATAAAACATGTTTTTCAATCTATTTTTTACCCAAAACCAACCCCTATAAAATACTATAAAAACCATGATAAACCTATTTATAACCTAAAAAATCATCTCAAAAATCAAAATTAACCTAAAATAAAAAATAAATTCAAGTGAAGATGTTTTTTTTATAAACTTTAAAGGTAAAAAAAACATTTAATATAAATTTATTTTATCAAATGGAATTATTTGATATAAATATTATTTTATTGGATAACTTAAATTGATATTAATAATATATTTCTCTTTTTATTATCAAAATCCAGCGAGTTTCTTTTTCTTCTCTCAATCAAGAATTAAAAAATTAAAAAATAAATTTTTATATTAAAATTAAATTAATAAAATATTGAGATACTAAAATTATATAATTTATGTGATTTTTGAAATTTAAGAACTAAAGTGTACTTTGCAAAACTTATAGCTCACTATCTATAATTAGCATCGATTTCATTCTGTTTTTTTTTCTTAATTTTAGTTTTTTATAAAAAAAATAAAAATCAATTAATTTTTAATTAAAACTAAGTCACTGAACAAAAAAAGTTTAAGGAACAAATTAAAAGAAATTACGTAGCCCGTACACACTACTATGTAAAAGGGAAGGGATGAACAATAAAGCCTTACACGGTGAAAAAACACGCATGTTAGAGTTATACTTATTAATCCGATGTTGATGATACCAAAGCATTCAGATTTAACAAGGAAACTAAAATCTACTGTATATATTTGATGTTTTTATAGAAACCAAAACTGCAATATTGAGTGAATAGTACTTACTCCACTGTACCCAATTCCAACAAGCTCAAGAACCCCAGGAATCAAAGGAAGCCTGTCGATTGCCTGGCACAGAAACACTTCTATCTCTTAGATTTTATTTAACAGGAGTAAAATCAGTGCCAAACACAAGAGGATTAAAAGAAATAACATTAAAAGATAAAAAATAAAAGATGTCCACTTAGAGAAGCAGCTCACCGAGATCAACCCAGTCGAACCCCAGAGGGCAACTCCACCAGCTATCACAAGTGAACTCACTGCATACTTGTCTTCAACTTTATCCCACTGTCCACCAATAACAAATTTATTAAGAATTCCCACCAATCCCATTAAAGCACATTTCATCAAAGGAAGAATTCTTACAGCCTCTTGAACTGCCTTGACAATCTCTGGAAGCTCAGTTGAAGCAACTTCTGCTGGAGCCTCTCCTGTGGCCATAGTCATAACATTGCGAGCTATCTTTCGACCTAAGATTAAAAACAAGAATCATTGTGAATAAAATATCACACTTGCATGTCTGGTATGTAATACTGTGTGCCTACATGTATGTGTATATGCCATTTGAGACTCACAGTAAGCAGTGGCTTTCCAGGGGCGGTTTTGGGGCTGGACAGGAGGGGGGAGTGTAGGGAGGCTCACACACTGTGGTGATGCAACTGCTGATTGGCGAGAAGCCTTGGCATCAATGAGGCTTGATGATGAGGAGATTGATAGGGGTGTGGAGGAAGTTGAAGCCATGACAGCAGTAGCGAATCCCTAGAGGTCCTGTACTGTTTGTCCCGCGAGGATTCTTCTGGGGAGAGCAAACGCGGAAATGGTTACAATATGGTCAAGTTAATTTATTTGTGAATGTTTTTTTTTTTTTTTGTGGGTTTAGTTGAAGTGTTAGATAATTTTCTTGATTGAAATGTGGAGAGGGATCTTCTTCCAAGTTTGAAGCTAGAGCACCACACATTCTTTTCATCTAGATAGGATGCTGACATGGCTGTTTGGATAGCCAATCTATGGTGTTTGATTGGATTTCTTCCTCCAGGTTGGAGCTCTGCTGTGCTTACAACTTTATTCTGTTATCTTCTCTTTTCTTTTTCCTCGAGGGCCAAAAATATCTATGTCTACTTTAATATCCATGTCTAATTTATAATTTATAATGGTGTTTTTTTTTGTTTATACCTTTTAAAAGTATTTTTTATTTTAAAATATATTAAAATAATATTTTTTATTTTTTAAAATTATTTTTAGTATAGCATATTAAAATAATGAAAAAAAAATTAAAAAACTAATTTAAAAAAAATCCAATTCAATTTTTTTAAAAATAAAAATAAAAAAACTTTACTTTAAAATCTATATCAACACATGCAATGGTGAAACAAATTGTAATTTGTATAATTTTTTTAAAACTGAAACAAATTGTAATTTGTATAATTTTTTAAAAAAAATATTTTTCTTTATTTTTTTATTATTTTAATGAGTTGGTGTTAGAAATAATTTTTTAAAAAATATATTATTTTAATTTATTTTTAAATAAAAAATATTTTTAAAACAACACCGTACTCGCGGACACCCCCTAATTTTTCACCCAAAAATTACTTATCAGATAACCAATTATTCCCATTTTCTATAATAAATAAGTGATAGTGGAGTATGCAATTCTCCATCCATAACGTTAGTAAGTGAATGATGACTGCAATTCATTATTATATAATAATCAAGCAAACTAAAATCATTGTATTTGCAACCTGTTTTCTTTAAAATTTCATTATTTTGGGATAAAGAAATAAAATTAAAAAATAATAATAACAGTTCATGTTTACTTGTCATCCCTTGACTTAAGGAGTTTTTTTCTTTATTTTAATCCCTCAAGTTCTCATATTATCTGCTTTGATCAATATTTTTTTTTTATCTTGATATTTAAAAGTTATATAGTTTTACCCGTGATATCTTTCGATGTAGATGCTCTCATAAATGTGTTTTAATATGAATTATTCATAAATTAGATTAAATATCATTATTATGAAATAGAATTATAGGCCATAGTTTAAAAAAAAATTAACATTAACAAAAAAAAAAACATAAAGAATTGTTTTTTTCATTTGCGTTATTTAAAAGGTGTCTCGTGGTACTACAATTTGATCTTTGCAGTTTTCAAAATTTTTATTTTAGACATAAAACTTTGTTTTTATTATATTTTAATCTTTATAGTTAAGAGAGATGAGAAGGAACTATATATGTTGAAGAATAAAGTTCAATTGAGGTAGTTTAGCACTTTAATTATGTCAATAAATGTATATCTAAGTTTCAATAAGTTTATTTTAATTTGATTTTGCATTCCCTAGGTTGACTAAAGTGCGCTTTTGTGGTTCAAAATGGAGTTACGGAGGTTAATAATTTATTTATTTATTTGTAAAAACATCTTTAGATTTAGGTTTTGAAATTTAAAAAACTCGGATGCTTATTTTTCAATCACAAGAGGTGGCTGCAAATTATTGTAAAGAATGACATGTAGTCCGTTCATATGAAGAATTCTCTAGAAAAAATTGTCAAATGTGCCTTAGTTTGGTTTTTAAAGGCTAAGTATGTGGGCCTAGCATTGCAAGTGCATGTGTGCTTGGGCATCATCCACTAGACCTTTATTCTTTCTTTCTTTCTTTTTTCAATCATCTTTTATATTTTAATTTTTTTTTAAATAAGTACAATACTATTTAAAAATTCATAAATTTATGTTGTTGTTTTTAAGATTTGATGTTTTTATGGTAATATTAAAAATTATTATATTCAAGCCTGATATACAATTGTTTTATAAAAAAACCGCTAATTGACATTCATGAAGAATAATGTATATTGTTATATTTTTGCTGTGAATTTTTTTATAGATTTTCTTTGAATTTTTTTTTAATTTATTATATAGTCACATAAAAACTATCAAGGAATTATTTTTTATTTTTTGTTTGAAACTTGCTTTTCAAATCGTAGTTAGTTTATTTTAAAACACAATGCTTGTAATAAAAAAGACAAGCTTTTTTTTATCAAAATTTAAGATGTAAATGAATAATTGAAATGGGTTTTTTTAGCTCTATAAATACACTTATTTTTTATTGATTTAAATTATTAAATTTTTTATGAATATTTATTTTAATTACTTGAGTTTTTATTAGAAAATAACCATGTTGTTGATAAAAAAAAAAGATATATTGTGTCCAAACAAAAAAGAAATACATAAATAAGGAAAGGAGCTTCTTGACAAATAAAAAATATGTTTTCCTTTAGAATTTAAATTATTGGAAATTCTTTATGAATTTGGAGAATTTCCTCGTCTATGATATCTATAAGCTGAAAGGTCTGCATGATCAAATATGTTCTTAACTATAAGATAATTGTTGTTCAAAATGTTCATTTGTATTACAAATTTAACCATTTTATTAGATTAGATTATCACCATACTTCCCAATAATAATAATAATAAAATAATAAAAACGATTCGATATTCTGACTGCTAGCTTATTCGTGTTTATATGGATAATAATTCTTATCCAATTAATTATAGAAATGCAAGATCTGGGCTTGACAATCCGTACCTTTTTGTGGGCCAGAACATTTTTAACCTCGTCGATGTTAAAATGGACTCCCCCTCCAGGATTTTATTAGAAGATTTAATATACGGTGATTATTTTTTATTGGATTTAAATTTTATTAAAAAAATAAGTAAATTAGTTTTTTTTTTAAAGTAAAAAATGAACTAAATTTGTTCAAAGTAATTGATTTTGATTTAATTATTTTAAAATAAAAATCGATTTAAACCAATTGATTCTAATTTTGTTTGGTTTGACTCAATTCTTTTTTATATAACTTGGTTTTTTAGATTTGGATTCGATTCAATTTTTTTGATTTTATACTTATAAAGTCGAAATCAAAACTGAATCAATTATTTTTGTTAAATTTTAATTAATTATTTTTCATGGTTTGATTTTTTTAATTTAATCAATCTTTTTATTTTTCTCTCACTCCTAGATTTTAATATACGTTCGGTTATTAATTTCTGGTGGAAAAAAAAATCCACAGATGTCATGACTGGTGGAAAAAAAAATCCACAGATGTCATCATCACTCCCTCACTCCCTCTAGGATGGCTTTTGCAGAGAGAGGCTTGATCTGGCCTTTTTGAGCCTTTAATATGTCTTTAGTTCTGGATTAATTAAAGCAAAGCACGACTTGTTAGTTGTGAATTAGGATGACTTCAACATCACTCTTGGCTTGGATTGCTGAAAAAAGAAAAGGTTGCTCCAATGCCATTTAAAATGAAAAATAAATAAATAAATAAAAACTTTATGGACCTATATAATTCTTTCAACATCATTAAAAAATAACATTAACTTCATTGAATTTCTCTAATAAAAACAAACTCTTTAACACTGAAATTATATTTTTTTATGGTTGAATTGTGGTCATATAAGAATTTTTTTCTCTCCTCAATATTTTTCTAATAATTTTATTTGTTCTCTCTCGACATTTAAAAAATCAAATTAGAGACTAAACAATACATGAACTCAAATGCGAGGAGCTACAATGAAGCTTTTTGTGCCTTTTTGGCATCGAGATATGTTTTTTTTTTTCATTTTTAACTACAAGCTAAGATTTTATTCCAGAAATCTGAACTTTAATTTAATGTCAAAATATTCTTTGGCATTCCGTACATTGCAAAGACAAAAAAATTGACACATAAAATTATGTTAATAAAACTTAAAAAAGTTAGACCGGGAAGAAATAAAGTTAAATAACCAAAATAAAAAATATATATATATATTCTTATAAACAGTACAGTAGAGGGTGTTTGTTTTTGTGTTATAACTTGATTTTTAAAGTGTTTTTTAAATTGAAAAATTAAATTTGATTTTTTTTAGATATTTTTAGACTTAAATGTGTTGATATCAAAAATAAAAAATAAATATAAAGAAACACTAAATTAATATATTTTTAATTATTTTTTAAAATATTTTATATCATAATATCAAACATATACAACCAAAAAGAAGAATTTGGGCTGGGCTCAGATATTGCCTGCCAAGTCTTTCCAAGTATTATGGTTCTCGAGGTTCACCAAGTCGCCGCTACCACAATCCACGAGTCCACTCCTGGAGGGAAAAAAACTGGTGGTCGTTATTTGGGATTGACTGATAATTAACATGCTAGTGGGCTCGTGATTTTTTCTTCTTTATTTTCTGTTCTTAACAATATAGGTATTTTTCAATCAACTTTATCGTATAAAGATTTTAATCATGACTTGAACAAATTATGCCATCGCATCAGTACTTTCTTTTCATATATATATAGATATATATCAACAACGGTAAAAAGGTAAAATCCAACAGCTAGGCAAAAGAAAAGGGTATGGTATTGAAGGACATGGGACACCATAAGAGAAAGGTCTCTGTTGACGGTTGCTTGGTTTTGTACTTGTTCTTTTGAATAAAATTTAAAGTTCGAGTACTGTGTATACAATTTATTATTAAGGAAACTTTATTTTTTAGTTTGCTGAGCTAATTTGACCGAATTAATAGAGATTTAATGAGTTTTTAAATACCGAGATTTAATAATAGTGAAAAAAAAAAAAAAAAACAGAGAAGGAGGTCTTTAGTTCTGGGGATCCAAATTCCTCACCACCCCAATTTCCCGACCCTGTACCTGGACTCCCAGACGAACTATCCCATAGGCCACACCACCATTACCTTTAATAGGAAAATTATGAACTGTTAAGGACGACTGATCCAAGTGTTCAATTACAACGACAAGAGACTCTATGAAGTTGTTTTTGAACGAGACTTGCTAGCCTGTTCCACACTTGCAATCTAATTAAATTAATATAAAATCATTTTAAAAAACTATTAACAATGA